CTTTTGTAGCACTGGTGCTTGTGCCGTTAAGAAGAGAGAAAAGGGCGAAAGACCTATCGCCCCCTTCCCCCGCCCTCCCCCGGATCCGCTTATGTATCCGACTGAAACCAACCAACCACAGGCTTTTTCTAGCTGGCGCCAACCGCCGACACGCTCTTCTTATGGATTCACGCGAACGGTCGATTCTCCTTCCGAGTTATCACGAAACACCCTTCTTCGCGAAACCAATTGCTATTCTCCTGGATTGTTACTTGCCGCCGCCACCACCTTCTACCCCTTCCCCCCTCTCCTCCCCTTCTTCCTCCGCCCCTACTCCCCTCCTCCTGGGGCTCCGCTCTTCTAGCCGCTTCTACAGTTGCACGAACCGGCAGGCCCCTCTCGCGGACCGGCAGCTACCAGCGCCCTCCTCCCCGTTTTGGATTTGTACGGATTACCTGTCCTTATTCCCGAATTAACGCAGACCGCCCCCTTCTTCTTCTCGGACCCGAAAAGCCAGCCTCATCCCGCACTTCCAGAGACACACGACCAGTGAAGCCCCCAAACTGGCAATAGCAGCTCACCGAGGAAACGACCGCACGGCACCCTGTCAATAGATGTGAGTGGGCGATGCTTTCTGTTTCTCACAGCAAATGCGCACACGCAGAATTTCCATTCAAATTTTGTCACGTGCCCATCTCAACCACACGCTGCTCACTTCTTCTGCTTACGTGACTTTTCCCAGCAAACACTCCTAGTTCCGTGCGCATCGTTTGCTTACGTGCCATTTGTGTGGTTTTACGTATTCGTGCAAATGCAAAAACGCATATTGTGACGATCCATGATGTGTGTGTGTATAGGGGTGTGTGCGTTTGTGTGTGTGTGGAGTGCACGGGTGTATGTTGTGTACGCGTCTATCCAGGTATTTCAACTTGACAACCACGCATTGGATTCTACATCGATTTCGAAATTAACAAAATATCTGTTTTGTGTATGCCCAAGTTTCTCTGTCCATATTTCAAGCGCGTAATCAGTGATTTGTGGATAACAAACCAGAAATCAGTTGTAACTCGTCTATGTTATTTTTTGCATCTGCTTTAGCTTTTCACTCACTTCCGTCAATTTTGCCTTTTTTTTCGTTCCAAGGAGATTTTTTTCCTTTGCAGCGATTTGGGGTGAAGAAAACGAGTAAGGAAAACTTTGTACATGATCTTCAAACTGCAGTAAGAAAGAAAAAATTACTTTGGCATGAAGGACACAGAAGACTGCATAAGTGATGTTGATGATGATGCAGTAAGTCGTTTTTTTTAGTTCCCTGTATTTTTGCGGACATAAGGGGGATAAGGAATTTGTGAACAAAATAATGATAACAATAACGATAGTAATAGTGATAATAATAATGATGGGAATAATAAGTAAATAACCATAATAGTAATAATAATCGTGGTAATTAAATTTTTAAATACATATTTTTTTATTATTTTGCATATATACCGTCTGATATCTTCACTCCACTTAAGCTTCTCCGTTAGATTTAGAAAGAACTACCAGCACTATTCATGGAGGCTGCACCGAATGTATTAGCTAATTTCCCAAAAATAATTCTCGTTTTTCCGTATACTTGAATATATTTAAAAGTTTGTAAAAATTTTAGGGATTTCGAACGAAAGAGCCGGATTTCACTGACAACACAGCATGCCTTCCTACAGATATGCATGCCGATTGGCTTAGCGTTCTAGCTGCCGAAAATTCTCGACGAATAAGCGAAGCTGTAAATTTTTTCTTTTTGGAATTTTTTTTTAAATTTTTTACTGTCGTCAATCTATGGTGTAGGGCTCTAGAAATTTAACAGTTACAAAAACTTTGGCTGGAAAAGGGCATATTCCTTTTTAGATTCCAGTGAGAGGCTGCATGTCAAAGAGCTGCGGGTTGGCGCAAATTCCACAACATAGCAGCGGATTTTCCCAAAATTTCTAATCGGAAGGATCTTTTGTTCGTTTTCGGAACCATTTTTTGAAAGCATTGATCTATTAGTAATAATTGAAAGATAGTGAAGGTTTCAAAAGGACTGATTTTTTGTCGCAAATGTTTTAGTTCAGATTATAAGATTTACGTGAAATTAGAAATTTCAGACTGAAACGGATCACGTATTCATCAATTTTCGCTCAGCTGAATATATCTTTACTGCATGCACAAGACTTCGTCTACCATCTGAAGTGAAATATGCGGCTTTGTTAATCTTTGACAAGTAAGTTTTTTTTTTCTAATAACTCTTCAGTGCCACGAATCAAAATTTTTGTTGCTCATCATGCACAAAAAAACATGCTCATTATATATATGGCGAGCAGAAGACTGTACTGATCATTCCCACTTTGTACTTGCAAGCTCTGATCTGTTTGTGTTTACAGCTAAGGGATGAAACATGGACTGATCCTCAAGATGTCAATCAGTGCATATTTTATTTAGATAATCTATTATCCTTGAATTTTAACATTTCTCGGGCTGTATGAATAGGAATTGGATGGATTTTTTGCTGTTTGTTTTACAAGATGGATGTACAAATATATTTACTCATAATTTGATTTGTTTCTTTGTAACAGTAGGGCTTCACCTCGATGATTTGGATAATCTCAGAATACTAGATCCGGAGATATAAGACTGAGCTAAATGTCATATGTACCAATAGACGTACTGGAGAGCAGCCTATGTTTCATCCCTTAGCTGTAAACACAGAGCAAAGCACCTTGATGGCTATTTTAACTTTTTTGTTGAATAAGATATAGTAAGGATTTTAGTTTCATGGTTAAGCTTGTGAACGGGTTACATGAATGCATTTACAATTCCAATCGATCAGATCGTGAAAAATATCGTGAATGGGAGCATATCGAGGCGGCACTATCACGCCAGATGACGCTTCGCATAGTTTCAGCAATTCAAATTGCCTCAAAAATGCATAATTATTACGAGGTAAACTATCATCCTCAATTCTTTCCCCCCCATCCTTATCAAAATTACTGCAGAAATCGCATTCTACCTGTTAAACCGACCTGACTTCAGAAATTTGCAAAATATTCAGAGTGTTACGATAAGGACCGCTAAGCTGTGCCTGCGTACACTTGGTTCTACGTATACAGAAGAAGCGATAGTACGCTCGGAAATGCGCGTTCTCACGACAATCGATTGGGAAACAACTTATCAGTGTACACCGCTTACTTATGCTGAATCACTGTTCAAAATACTCCGTAAGTTGTCACAAATCACTGTAAAATTAGGAAAATATTTCGGGGCTTTTTTTATCATAGGCGGATCCAAGACGGACTGCTGAAGAGGGGGGTGGGGGGCGAAGAGGGTCCCTGGCTGCCCTGGAACTATGCAAAAGCAGGAATCGAGTTATAACACTGCTACTTAGGGCTACTTTATTTTAGAGTTATTTTAGGCTTTAGTTTTAGCTTTAGACCCGGGCTTTTGCAGCACTAGCGCCTGTGCCACCGGGGGGGGGGGGGG